ACCAAAGCAAACCAGTTTTCCTAAAAAAAGATCTGATATTTCCCATACAGTCAGTGGTGAGATGTCTTCAAAGGAAGATACTGTCTGCCTGGATTTCTGGAGAACTTATTCACTAGGCATCTAAAATGCAGGCATAGATAAGGTATCTAAATTAGGTTAGCTGAATCCCATTCTTTAAGAATCAATGTTCCCACTGAACTTAATGGAAATTGAGTCTCTCTACAGTAATTAACTTTAGAGTTAACCAAAGTCCCAGAGGAAATTTGTAGCAGAGCTGGAAGAAGGATCTGCCAGGTCCAATCTTAGGGCTACACTCAGTTGCCATACCTTGGCATCTAGTGCTCTTTGGTGTGCCCGAGGATGCATGGCTTTAGGTGTAACAGAGACCCAAGATCAAGGTCTTTCTGGACTGAACCTCGGTCATCTCAAAGAAAGGTAGATGCCTTTAATGCAAGACACTGCACTAAGCTCCAAGATTTAACTGCAGAATTTGAGAAGATACATACAAGCTATTTCTGGGTTGAAGGGCATAAGGGCTTCATTAGCTTACACAGAAGGGCTTTTTCCTTTCCCTCTTGATCAAGTTCTATTCACAGTCAGTATTTTCACTCCATGCCCCCACTTCCTCAGGCATGTGGTATTCTTATAATAATAAAAAAATGCAGGAAACTATTTTTACCTGTTCAATAATTTCTTTATAATAAGATATCAAACATGGCAGTTTCTTTCATACCAGCTTACTGGCAAACTTGTGATTTCTTCACTAATACATCTGATAACCAGGTATCTTCTATATCTGTATTAATGAACAGTAACAAGAGCATGTTAGAAATAGGACCACTTCTTGCTTAGCCCAGAGTTCTGGGGGATCAGGATAAGTTCTTCTCATTATTTTCTTATACAATCATGACTATGCTTTCCTTTTTGATTATGGATGAATCATTTTTGTCTGTATTTCAATTACTAGCAGTAGATCAATGTGAGAAGAGAATGACATGGAGAACCACAAACTAAAAGGGTAACTCCAAACTGTGTTGTGTCTTTGTGCTGTGCAGATGTACCAGCTCATGCAAAACCCGCTTAAGTTAGCACAGCTTGATTTAAGACCATACAGCCAGCTGAGTTGCTCCATACCTGTCCTTGCAGGAATGTGGATCAGTGAGGACCATCTCCAACCTGTCTGCACCCTACAGGTCTCCCCTACCTTCCTCGTATAGATAAAGTCTGGGTTTCTGAGACTGCTAATCCAGGGGCATTTCGTAGACTTGTTGCAGCCAGACATGTCTTAGTGATCAGGTACCAAGAACTGAAATTCATGCTCACTGACAGCAGCCACTCAGGCTACAAGGCACTGAGTTCTGTCCACTCCTGACAGAAGAGATGGGGCAGCTCAGCATAATACAGGATTAGGCTCAGTTGTCTAAAACAGAACTATTTTTCTCCCACCTTCCCAGCTCTCTCTAGCTCTGTAGGTATCAGCTGTTATCTTTTAATAGCTTTAACTGCACTACTGTTGTTCTTCTTTAGCAAGGAAAGAAAATCCATAATCCAAGCTGTCTGAAAATTGCTTGATAAAATGTTTGGAGAAAATTGCCACCCACATACTGTATTCCTCTGCAAGGTATGGGAGCATTTCCAGCACTTGTACAAGATGAGAGAACGTGTATTTTAAAATGCAGATACTTACGTTTAAACGTAAGTATACTAATGCAGATAGGAAAACTGAATGAAGAACTGTTTATATGTGATTTTAAACAGCTATCAGGATAGACATGCTAGTTATTTATCTTTTTAAACACAAACCTTGCACCTTCATTTTCCTTGTACCTCTTAATACTTACATGAAGTTACAAAAAGAAGAAAGCTATTTACTTGCGCAGAAAGCAATCAGACTTGCAGAAGCCAAAGTCTTGATACCCAAATATGTGACACTGAACATTTAACCTTGTATTTTGTCAGTCTGGTAAAAGCATTCTGATTTCCTAATTAGAATAAGAACTGTTGATGGCAGACCACTCAGAAAAGAATAATTGATCTATCTAGATAAGGATTTTGGATTTCTACCTTTAAATATATGTGTTTGAAAACACTGGATTCCAGTCTAACACAAAGGTGCAACGCTACACATGTGAATGGGTATAATGTAAATGGATGTGAGTTCACATGACCATTCTAGTGCTGGCCTGGGTGATAATAGATAAATAGAATTTCAGTGCTACTAGTATATTCATAGCTCTGGCCATTAGGACTGCCTCGTAGCATTTGGTCAGTTAGAATTAGTTATTATTGCAGAATTACAGACTTTTAAGAGAAAATATTAATTCCTGAAAAAACTACACTTCAAGAAGCATAGCATTTTTAGCTCTAACTAGCTGGAAAAAAGTAAAACATCTCTAATAAATAACCTCAACAATTTTAGCCTTTGTTCCAAGGACCCTGTCTCTGATACATCCCAAGGCAACCGCTGAGATGATGCAAATGTCGTTCACTTCATTCTTCAGATGGGGAGAAAGAAGCCTGTGGTAAACATATGTTGTGTTTCCCAATATTGCTACAAAGCCATGCTACATTTCCCGTGAATGGAAAGATGGTTTTGAGTTCCATTCCTGCCTTTCATCCCTGCCCATTTGCTTAAATTCCAACTAAATTGCCAATAGGCAGCAATGATCCAGTCTGCATTCATTTCAGATATATTCAGTGTATTCCAAATCTTGCTTACATCCATTATCACTTCCCTGCCAAAAAGACATCCAAAATTTCAGTGCATGGGGAATTGTCTCCTTCATTACAAGTCCGTAGATCTTTGCATTAGTCTTCCCTGCCAGGTCATAGGAAATATTGTACTTTGTGGGAAGGAAATATCTTACCTCTTTCTTTTACCCACACATTTTTTTCCACAACCAACTGAGACATGACTAGTATTTCTGTTCATCTTGTACACTTTTCTTTTGGAGTGCTCTTGTTTCCAAGGCATCCGAAATTAATGCCCCACTCTGCTTGTAAGCTGCTCATAAACAGATTTATTTTCTAGAAGTTTTATGAATTTTAGGCAAATATAATATAAATAAATTAGTAAATATTGGCAAATCTGTTTATATTTTAGCTTTCAAAAATTGGTTTGCCTGAATGCTGTCTAATACTTCCAATAGCAAGAATGTGGAATTGCAGCTTTATAAAAGATCACTTAAGTAGGGTTTCTGTCCTCTCATGGGATTACCTACCCTTTCTAAACTGGGGACCAGCACAGAGGAGCCCAAGGACATCTGAGCTATTGGCATGAGGCTGACTGAAATGACACAAGGCTAATGGGAGTTTTGTACCTTTCTGGTACCTGGAAGTCAAGCAGGATACAACTGAAGCATCTAAAATGGCTCCAGGCGCCTATGCATGGGCAAGTGAACCAAGTCTTGAAATTCAGTACTAATGAGAGATGGTCAGTAAAGTTGGCAGAGCTTCATCCAACTTCACCTCAGAGTGTCACATCTGATTTGGAGAAGATTGCCACTGTGCTTTGCTGTGGACATTAATCAATACAGAATCCATCCCCTCATCCCACCAGCAGAGAAACAAGGTTATTGCTTTCCCAGTCTACTTTGAGAGCGTGAGGCCTCTATGGCATCTTCTCAAGGCAATGTGAGAAGGTATTGCCTATCCCCAAATGGATTTTATCTTGTGAAAGTGTTCTGGCTCTACCCATGGCTGAGTTCTCTTTCAGTTCTGCCATCCTGTAGACACCTGCATGAATTACACAGGAAGAAGGCAACTCTTTCTCTTGGTCTAAGTTTACACAGAAGCTGAATGGTTAAACCATCACAGGTACAAACATCCCAGGAAATGGGATCAGAAGTGACATTATCAATTGTAAAAGGGAGCATTCTTATGGTGGACTTAGCCCAAGAGTGATCATGAACAGATACTTCATTTCAGTCAGCATACTGTAGGTAACATTTGCTTTACAGTTTCTTGCTTCTAACATCTGCTTATGGCAGTTGTTAGAAGTTTTATTTATTCACTTGAGTTTTCTAATGACAATAAATGCAGCTGTTCTTCATGGTCATCTGTGTCTCACTCGGTTCTCCAACTTCGGTGCAAATATTCCCCTCAGTGCCTGGACAGTTGCACGGGACAGACCTGCAGTCCCTCTTGACACTTACAAGGTGGTGGGATTCGGTCTAAGACAAAATATCCCAAATTCAGATCTCTAGATGTCTTGGATCTGACAGGGCCATTGCTGTAATCCCATGGCAGGTTTATATTCCCCAGCTGTAACACAGACACACTGACAACACTTCCTAAGGCAGGTACTTCCACCTTTTTTACGCCTCAGGGAGATCAGGCACCAGATAAACAATAACTTGATTAATTTTTTACTCCAATAAGCTTTCTATGAAGAACTATCTACTCCTGGTGTAAAAAATCAGTCCTGCGTGTAATGGCATAGGTTGTTCTAAATGAACAGAATTTAGGTAAGCTAACAGTGAATGCTTTGATAGAAGTACAGGGGAACAGCTGTCTACAGAAGGTGTTTTTTTACTTATCTTCCATTCACAGGTTTTTTATTTCTTCCTGTTTGGTCTCTCATAGCAATTATAATGTGCTGGGATTTACTTTTAATTAAACTAGACAGAGCCTAGAGAATTTGTACCTATTACATATAGTTCTGAATAATTCAACAGCTTTTGTGCAGTGCCTTTACTGAAATTAGAAATTTGAAATGAAAGTTCTCATACAGCCCAAAGAAGTTTTAAGATTGGAGAATAAGGGTTTTATAGAGGCATTGTGTGTAAGTAACAGAAAATGGCAATGTGCCTGGGAACCCAAAAAGTCTAGCAAAAAAACCCAACCCCAAAAAACAATCTATAATATAACTGAAGACCAGGGGGTGAAGCATAGGTATTACAGCTGAGGCAGTCTTAAGAGTCAGCTGGTAGCACAAACAAAACAACTTGTCATTTTAATGGAAATAACTTTTTCAAACACTCCTTGTCTTTGGTTTTCAGCCAGCCCACCATATCACAGTGACTGATGCCCTGTAAACACCCAAGCACCAAACACAGCTGTAAGAGGTGGCTGAAGGAAAGAAGTCCAGCAATTTGGTTGAGCATCTCAAAAGGTTTCACCAAACATTGCTGTCCATAACTTGACTGTGAATCTGAGTTGAATATGTTTGTTTGCCATTTTGACTAGAATCAAAGTTAAATAAAAAATAGACTGGTTTAAAGACTTGAGATGGGTTGGTTTTTCTCTACTCCTTCTTGCTTGAAACATCATGTCTTTATCATGAATGTAGCCAGATGCTTTGGACACATGTAACCAACAATTCTCTCAGGCTAAGGTTTTCTTTTAGGTATTAGCAGTTTCAGCCTGATGTACGATTTATGTAAATTTGCCATGTACCTGCCCTTAAAGAAAACTAAATGAAAAAGCATAGACACGAATTCATGTGAATTCATTGGCTTTTGGATACTGCTTGACCATAAACTTACTAAAAAACCTTGTTTTTCTGTACAGCAACTTCAACATCCAGGCTCCAAGTGGTATTTACAAACACACAGTTCATCAGGTGTTGACTATTAGGTTTAGGCAGCAGTTTATATCCTTCAAAGCTTATTTGTTTCCTTCAGGGATGCAATTTTTGCTAATAAATGGCACTATCTCTATTTAAAACCTACCTGCAGAATAAATTTCTTTTAACCTCAGCATGACAGTTGTATCTCTGTCACCAGGGTGGACTTTGCCAGTGGAAACTGGAACTCTACTCTGCAGCAAGCAGTATTTCTGCTATTTAAATCATGAGTCCTGGAAAGGGCTAGCTGGCCTTCTCTTCGTGATTTCAGAGCAGTATAAAAACATCCGCTACCAAAACATAAACATTTGTGGATGGATTAAAACAAATTCTCAGTTGTCAGCAAACACCTATTGATCACTTCCTCTGGCTTCCAGACACCATAAAGCTGGGCCTGTCAGATAAGAGAAAATGAATGGGGACTTTCTTTTCTATGCTAATAGCACTGTAAGGATGCAGAGTGTTGTCAGCTACTCACTCTTCTTGTTCCTTACATCCTCTGCCCCCAACTACCGTTTTTGGAGACTTTGCTATCACTTGCAATGCTGGGCTGCAAGCCAATGCATGCAAATTTGGCACCTCCATGCAGGATGCTGCAGCCAGAACTGAAGGCCTGCCTAGGTAACTCATGTCCTTGGCATGAGGAGGGCAGTGAGAGGTAGCTGATTGTAGAACTGGTATATCCACCACTGTTTTAGTCCACCTGGAATGAGAGATAGGAAAGCACCAAAAGGAGAAACTCCCATGAGTGAGCCAGAAAAACTCACCATATTTAACCCATGTGCTCCTAAGTAGCTGTTACTGTATTTAACTCTGAGCAAGAGCTGTGGTGGTGGGGAGAGTGACCTGGTAGATTCTTCACCCATGTGCTGAGGTTGAGATCGAAGTAACTGCACTTCGGAGCAAGTGCCAGCTCCTGTGAAAAAGTAGGATGTCATTGCATTAGTTTTTCTTTGTTACAGACAGATTTAATAAGTGGTCATCAGGCAGCATTTTCAAGTATTAAAACTTGGTATTACCAATAACACTGCTGCTCCCCTTCTGCAATTGTATTAGTATAAAAGAACATTTGCTGTATGGAAAGGCCAAGTTATCCTGGTAATAAGCAGCTTTATATTTGAATATCTCTTCTCAGACTCAGACTGGTGGTAGTGCATCAGTGTGGCTAAAAAGTCCTATCAAGAATGGTGATAAAAATATGCGGTGTAGTCCAACTGGTTAACCGGGTAATTCTTCAGTGCATCCTCTCAGCTTTAAATCAGTGTAAGTTCATTCAACACAGGGAAGCAGGCCAAGGAGGCCAAAGTTAGAGACCATGAAACAGGAAAAGGGAAGTATTTTTGCTGCTCCATTCCTCCTTTGGCAAGATTTTGAATCCCTGCAGGAGAATCGATAGATGTGCTAGGAGTGGCAGGACACTCAAAGCTGCTGCTCTCTGAACCATTGCAAAGGACAATCAGTGTTTTCCCTCATACAGCACGTGCCATGGTCCGAGGCATGATAAAAGAAATATAATCAAATTTTATGATCTGATAAAGAAATTAGGTGAATGAGGGTGGGACTGGCCATGAAAGCTGGTTTTGTTTAGCACAGATTACTGAGGTTTTTTGGGTTTTTTTTCGTCATTCAGTGCCTCACTTGACAGTACCTTTCTGATGGCCCTGAGCACTGGGCACTCAGTGTCCTTTTTCTAGCAAGGAATTGGTGTATGAAACCCTGTAGTGTGCTTAGGGAATTTGTACTGCTGTAGAAATGCTGAGACTATAACACCTGAATTTTCAGAGAGAATTTAGGAAATAAAGCTACATTATTGTGTTAATGTGCGTACACCACCAGATTTCCTCTCAAACTACTGCTAAAATGAGAATATACAATCTAAAAAAATAAATAAAATAATTACCAAATAAATGGACTCATATTCTTAGGGAAGAAAAACCTTTCAAGATAAATCTGGACAAATAAATCTCTTTTCTTCTAACTAACTTTTATTTATTTATTGTTTTTCTACATCGTAGACCACTAGGAAATTCACTGCTAATTCCAGATAGAATGAAGTTATTCACTTAATGGTAAGAAGTGTATATTTTGTGAAGGATAAAATGTATACTTCATGTCTTTCACTTACTTGATAAGGTTATTTATGGATCTACAGCAAGGAAACTATTTTGTTGAACTGAAACATCCCACAGCTGACAGTAAATATCAGGCTTTACACTTTTAAGAGGAATAAAGCTTTGCAAATGTGACAAAAGAAAGTTCCTTTCCATAATGCCCACTATGTGTGGGAAGACAGATGAGAGATGTGTGGGAGCAGTGTTTATTTTGGTGATTTTTGCTTCCTCAGGCAGCTGTGATGGTTTTTGCTGAGAGCCTTCAGGGAAGACAGGGAAAAAGGAAATGTTCACGTGAGGGATGGATTAGAAGGTGATGGGGAACTCAGCAGCTCGCCTGTTTTGGACTCTAGGTGGGGTCAAAGGACATGCACATTAGGCTGAGTCTTCTTTCTGCCTCTATCATTCTTCTTGCAAGAGGAAATCAGTGATTTCATTTTCCTTCTGGGGAAACTTGTTCCATGAATGTGCAGAGCAGATGTAGCAATTTGAGACGCAGCATCACTGTGCCACAGAACACATGCCCCAATGCTAGTTTTTCCTCATTACAATGACCTGAGACATTCCTTTTAAATGTGGAACAGTGGTAAAACAGGAGTCTTCACAGAGCTGGGCCCTGCAGAACCAGATCATGAGCCTCGCAATGAGTGTGGCAGGCTGCAATCCTAGGTACCTGTCTCATAGGTAACTTAAAATGGGTCTTTTCACTTTCATCCTCCTGGAATTTCTAGTGACTCAAGAACTCTAACATATGTATTGTCAGTGCTGGGCTTAGGGGTATTTATTCATTCAAATCAGTTTGATGCCAAAGAGCCATTGGAATAATCCATACACCTCTTCTTGCACACAAACACTCACATGAGTTTTGTTTACAAGCTGAAGAAATGGTTGTTATTTAGGCAAAAAATCTTCCAGGTTACCATGTGGATAAAGGTATTGTCATATGAATCATAGGGTCGTCGAATACCAGGTTGGAAGGGACCAAAAAGATCATCTGGTCCAAACTTCCTTGGCAAAAGTATGGTCTGTACAGTGTGGCTCAGCACCCCTTCCAGCTGAATCTTAAAAGTGTCCAGTGTTAGGAAATCCATCACTTCCCTAGGAAGATTATTCCAACGGTTGATTGTTCTCATTGTGAAAAATTTTCCAATAGTGCTTAATTGGAATCTCTCCAGGAGTAATTTGTACCCATTACCCCTTGTCTTTTCCATGTGACTCCCTGGAAAAAAAGGAGTCTTCAATTTCTTTGTAGCCACCTTTTAAATACTGGAATATGATGATAAGGTCTTCCTTAAACTTTCTTTTCTCAAGGCTGAACAAACTCAGATCTAAGCCTTTCCTCATATTTCAGGCTGCCTAGTCCTTTTATCATCTTGTGTCTGTTCTCTGGACCCTCTCTAGCCTGTCCACATCCTTTTTTGCATAGCAGGGACCAAAACTGAATACAGTGTTCCAGGTGTGGCCTGACAACTGCCAAATAGAGTGGGATAATGACTTTTTTCTCTTTGCTGATGATGCCCCTGTTGACGAGCATCCTACTGGTTTCCTTTGCTGCAGCAGCACAATGTTCACTCATATTGAGCTGTTGTTGCTCTCCATCATTTACCAACAGTCCTGGCTCACTGAGGAGGTCCCAGATGACTGGAAGTTGCCGAATGTCACACTGATCCATAAAAAGGGCTGCAAGGAGGACCTGGGAAACTACAGGCCCACCAGCCTGACTTCAGTGCCTGGCAAAGTTATGGAGCAGATCATCCTAAATGCAATCCCACAGCACATACAGGATGGACAAGGGATCAGCACCAGCCAGCACAGGTTTAGGAAGGGCAGGTCCTGTCTGACCAACCTGATCTCCTTTTATGATCAGGTGACCCGCCTGGTGGATGAGGGGAAGGCTGTGGATGTGGTCTATCTGGACTTCAGCAAAGCCTTTGACACCGTCTCCCACAGCACACTCCTGAAAAAGCTGGCAGCCCATGGCTTGGACAGGGGCACCCTGTGCTGGGTTAGGAACTGGCTGATGACCGGGCCCAGAGACTGGTGGTGAACGGTGCTGCATCCAGTTGGCGGCCGGTCCCCCAGCGTGTGGTGTCCCCAGGGATCAGTGTTGGGCCCAGTTCTGTTTAATACCTTTACTGATGATCTGGATGAGGGGATTGAGTCCACCATTAGCAAATTTGCAGATGACACCAAGTTGGGGGGGAGGGGCGTGTTGGTGAGCTGGAAGGCAGGAGGGTTCTTCAGAGGGACCTGGATAAGCTGGAGAGTTGGGCTGATTCCAATGGAATGAGGTTCAACAAGGCCAAGTGCCGGGTCCTCCACTTTGGCCACAACAACCCCCTGCAGCCCTACAGGCTGGGCACAGAGTGGCTGGAGAGCAGCCAGGCAGAAAGGGACCTGGGAGTTTGGATTGACAGGAAGCTGAACATGAGTCAGCAGTGTGCCCAGGTGGCCAAGAAGGCCAATGGCATCCT